TACGCTGCTGGGTGGCTACTTGTGTTTACAGTAAAATTTTATGTAACTCAGTTCGCCCCTTCAATGATAAATCCATCAACACAGGAAAGCACCCATTGACCTCGCGCTGAAATTCTCAAAACTGCAAACAGTACACAGCGAAGTAGTAATCGTTAAGGTCCATTGAAGCGTCCTATCAGCCTTGATCTGAAATGAAATTTCTTGCATGCGTTTCTTTTCTTACCAGCCCTATGGCAGCAAGAACTTCACGCAAGATCATCGCACCTGCAGAGGGTGTCTCAGACCAATTCAAGCGCGCATCGGCAGAATTTGAGACGGCAGAAGAAACGAGAACTTAACACTTTTGACATCCCACAGCAGTGATGCAATTATTTTGCTGCCCAATAAAACAGGGAAAAGTCGAGAAACTCTGAAACTTTGTTCCCGCAGGACGCGGCTTGTAGCTGTTGGTACACTCGACAACGCCGCAGTTCATGATTCAGATGAACTACATGCTAGCGAACGTTGAGAAGTGTTTCGTTCTGCTCGGGCTCTTAACGTTTGTCTTCTCTGACGGCCGCGTGGCGGTGCGCCAGTCTCAGCGCACGGAGTCTATATATGACCTCGCTTGCACCATCCAGGATGCCAAGAGCGATGGCCACTTGCTTGACAATCGTCGGATCGTCGGTGTGAACCAATGCGTAGTTGGTGATTTGCTGTTTGAAGTCGATGACGGCTGCGGAGAAGGCGCGACTCCCGCGGTACGCTGCCGTGTCGACAAAGCTGACGCCACGTTCCTTACTATGGATCTGCTTGAGAATAGTGCCAACTCTAGCCCGTCGCCTACCACGATTGTGCTTGGGATTCACATTCCTTGGTATCGGTGCCACGGTGATGATGTCGCAAATCTCACGGGGCACCTATCTCATCTTCTCCTCCACTCCAGCAGGAGAGTGACCAAGCTCTTGGTGTATCTGTCTGCCGGTCTGCGAGCTCGAAAGGTTGTCGAGCTGGGCCCGCTCCTTCGCTTCGGCTATCTCCTCCAACGTATTGTGTACTCCGAGCTGGAGCAGGTGCTCAGTGAGCGTCCTGATCGGTATACCGGTGGCCCGCTTGGTAATCTTTCTGAGCAAGACGTTGATCTTGTCACGCTCGGTACGCTGCAAATTGTGCGTGACGCGATATGTGAAAAGTGGCAGAGCACAAACGAATTGACTAGGAAGATCACATTGTCTTCCTTGAGGCCTTGGTGACGGTTGGCCACCCACCGAACCAGCCGAACCGCGTCGTCCGTCTCGCGGCGAGCTTGAGCATAGTATTGCCGTTAAAACCATTGGACTCGGTGGTCATGCCAAGGACCCGAATGGAGTCGAATCTGGGTATTGCGCCACCGTCTCTGGTGTAGACCGTGATATCACTCTTCTAGATCGGCTGCCAGTTTTTTGTCTTGGACACTCGCCTAGTGAGTTGGTAGAAGAGGAGCTCGGATTTGTTTGGGGAACATCTCAGGCCTGTGGGACGAAGGCAGTCTTCCGTGTTGTCTATGGCTTCCTGCAGGGAGCGCTCAACTTGCCCGTCGCTGCCACCTATGCACAAAATGGTAATATCGTCCGCATAAATTGTGTGGTTAATGCCCTCGATTTATGAGAGCCTCTTGGACATCCCAACTATCACAAGGTTGAACAGGGTGGGCGATATGACTGACTCCTGTGGCGTACCGCGCGAGCCCAGCTCGATCTCCTCTGAGACGAGGTCTCCCACTCTGAGGGTGGCTCTCCTACTGGATTGAGAACGATTTGACATATTCGTAGAATCTTACTCCGGGGCCGAGCTCGGCATTCGACCGCAACACAAAAGAGTGAGTAACATTGTCGAAGGCTTTCTCTAAGTCGAGGCCGAGAATGGCCCGCACTTCTCGACTGTTGCAGTCAATGACTTGGTGATTGAGCAGCTTCATAGCGTCTTGCGTCGAAAGCTTGGCCTGAAAACCAATCATGGTGTGAGAGTAGAGCCCATTTTCTTCCAGGTACCGAGTCAACCTATTAAGTAACACATGCACAGCTACCTTTCCCACGCAGGATGTGGGCGAAATGGGGCGCATGTTGTCCAAGTTGGGTGGCCTCCCCGGCTTGGGAATGAGCATGGTGCGTGCGACCTTCCAAGGGTTGGGGACCTCGCCGCTCTTCCATGCTTCGTTGATGACTTCGGTGAGGTAGTTGATTGACGTGTCGTGGATGTTGCGCAAGATCATCTCAATGATTAAATTTAATTGAATCATGTCATACTGCATTTATCAGCGCGTCATCTGTGGATAGCATTTGGTTGCCTTGTAATCAGCATGTTGCCATTTTATTCTATGTTAAATAAATTAGAGACTTTCAATATTTAAATTGATATGAAAAAATAGATTGTAGAGTTCGTCATGAGAAAATTCCTGCGCAAAAAAAGATTGAACTTAGTGTTGAGCAGTTTATGAGATTATGAAAACATGTACTTCTCATAATGATAATATGTATGGGCATAGAGAGTGCAACGAGACACGGCTTTTTCACTAAACAGGGGGATGGAAATAAGCGCGAAGAGCATGGCATGGTGTTTCCATGCCACTCTGGCCTTGGATAGATGGAAAGCCTTTATTAGTTGTCCGGCAGAATAATGGGCCAGGCTAAGGTCTCCCATGTCGGTGCGTCAAGGTGCGTCAAAAATATTCTAGAATTGTTCGAGATTGTATCATGGATTACTCTAATAGCTTTTTATCACCATCCAGGCTAGAGCTGCTTAAAAAGAAATGCGGAACACCAGGAAATGTTTATGCCACGCTGGTCACGTTTTCATCTCCATTATACGTACATGGCTGGGTAATATCTGCAGGTGTATGTTAAATAATGATATTTGTGGTTTAGCGTCCCAAAACCATAATATGATTATGAGAGACGCCGCAGGAGAGTGTTCCGGAAGTTTCGATCACCTGAGGTTCTTCGACGATCACGTAAATTTAAGTACATGGGCCTCGAGCACTTTCGCCTCTATCGAAACTGCCGCTGCCGCAGCCGGGATTCAACCCAGCGACCTTGGGATTAGCAGTGCAGCGCTATAACCACTAGACCATTGTGGTGGGGCTGGCATGTGCATGTTGAAATACTTGTCCTAATATTCAAATCATCATTAGGAGCATACCGAAGCTGGTATTACCCCGTGAATGTAAAAGAGGTATGGTATCAAATGTTATGAGGAAATCATTTATATTACACTGGCGGGATTTGATAACGCGTAATTTATACTTCCATTTTCGCACAACCATTAGTGATCTTCTAATGACCACGAGGGTATATCAATGGGATAAGATTTTCTCGCAACTGTGCTTGAGGTTTGCCGCCCTATTGATGTCGAGACATAGAAATGAGCAACGTTTGCGTTTACTAACGTAGTAGTCATTTATTGTTGTCCATTTTTGAGCAGGCTTAAGATAATAAAGCTATACGACATCCAGTTTATTATAGCACTGCCTTGAAAAAAAAAACAGACATAGGTATACAGTAAGTTTATCTGAGGACAAAAGCAAAGTAAAACTTTCACGCCATGTACAAGCACTGTGTCTCAAACTTGCCTCTGCAGACGTGATAAATTCAGTGTTGGGAATAATGTTTGGGTATTTTAACGCGACAGCGTTAAAGAAACTGGTTTGCAGTAAGCGACCACGCCACAGAAACTGCGGTGTCTTTGTAGGCGTCAGTGCCGGCTTTATTGGGGTGACAGGTAAAAATCGCGATTAATGCAAGTAACAAAGATAGTGGCTACGGGCCAGAATCAAGCCCAAGGATTCTGCGAGGAGAGAGGGTGTTTTTCGACAGAGCCGCAACTTCACTTGAAACTATTCCGGAAAACAAAACTATACAGGCTTCATGTAGTGCTATGAATAGCGATAGCACATGTAATATTGGGTGGCGGGAGTGTAGAGAATCGCGCCACATGTCAATACATCTGAAATGCGCAATGTGCAGATGGTTTCAAGGCTCGCGATTTACAAAGCACTCAGCACATTTATTGAACAACAGCAGCAATAACATCAACACAGCCTGTAGCCGCGCAGGTGCACGCGTTACCTTACAGACGCTTAGTGGGTGCGTCACGAATTCGTAAAATGACGAATTATGACATTGTGGGAACTTCGTAGTTGTACTTGCTCTGGCATGCACCTTCGGAGTATTCAAAACGTCCCCTGTTACACGCATAGACGTTGCTTTCTTAGCGGCTTGCTTCAGTTGTCCAAGCGAAGCATGGTTGGTTAATGAGAACTAAAAGGGCCCAGGAACACACTTTGAGCACAGTCAGAAAACTCTGTCGATCGGTATATAGTCAAGACGCCTTCCAAAAACACGTGAATCAATTAAGCAAGCACCGCATTCAGCCGGGAAATTGCAATAAACTCTCAAAGTCAGCAAAAATTGCTTTCTCTTCTCTCGGCAAATAACACCACAAGCCCAAAAATCACTTGCCACCGCCATTGTATGAACCACTGGCTTAGCTAGTGTGCTCGGCTATTACTGGGGCCGTAGCGGGAGGCCGCCATTTGCACGCGCGTATTCTAAAAAAAAGAAAAAAAGTGCACAAGGTGACGAAGCGCGCGTGACGTATTTTCTTCCCCTATGCAATCCCTCTTTTTTTAGCTTTCAGCGCTTTCCACTAGGCGAGTGAAGAGAGAATGCAATTGTAGCGTGCGACGAATCTTTTGTATCTCCACTCGATCGTAAGGTACCAATCGAAAAATTTTGGGTGGTCAATTCGTGAAGTTATAGACTCATTTAGTGAATACATTGCATGACTACCTGAAAAAGTGTTGCAGGGCGCCTATAAGGACATGCGAAGTGGGTCCGCTCAATGTTATGTCTTTTTCATTTTCCCTTCTTTGTGAAATGTCACGTTGTACAACGAATTCATTCTAGATTTAAAACTATGATTATTAGTATTATAAATCCACGCCACGAACCCTCCCACGTTCCCCCATTGGGGCTTGAACTCACCCGCAGGGCCTCTCGGTGAAGACGATGTAGTGCTGGTGCTCCATTCCACGCTCCACGAACTTTATGCACGTATGGTTCTCCCATTGGCGCATCGCCTGCTGGAAAAGTGCTCGGTGGTCCCCTGCAGACACCAGCAGCACCCAGCATGTCATGTGCCGTCACCGATAAATACAACACAGCGGATAAATAATAACGCAGTGGCAGACAGCTGTTCATCACCTAAGCGTAAAAGCTCCTCAAGCACAGCAAAGGACTGCAGCCGCATAGCCTGTACCAAAGAGTTCACATAGTGTAAGGGCAGATGAGTGCAGTGTGGTTGATCTGGTTCGCGATGTTGTTTCCTTCACCGCAACGAACTATATCAATGAACACATATTATTTCGCTCATGCTCGACCCGTTGCCTTGAATGATTGGCACGCGATTCTGACACTTTACGCCCTGTTCTAAAACAAATATGCAAAAGTTTTGCCCTCGGATTGATGCCATCTCGACATGGAGAGAAGCTATGCAGCCGTGTTATAACGGCATAATACATTCTTCTTCAGCCTGACTACATCCACTGCAGGACAAAGGCCTGTTCGATGATCCGCCAGTGTACTCGGTCAGATGTTATCATAACTACGCGCTACATGCCCGGCCCAAGTCCATTTCATCTTGATTTCAACAATTTTATCTTGGAGCCCGGTTTGTTCCCTGATCCACTCTGCTTTCTTCTTGTCTATTAAGTTTACAGCTATACTTTTCTTTCCCATCGCTCACTGCGTTGTCCTCAATTTAAGTCTAACCCTCTTAGTAAGCATCCAGGTTTCTGCTCTGTAGGTATGTACTGGCAAGATGCAGCTGTTATAAGCCTTCCTCTTGGGAGATAGTGACAATTTACCATTAATGATATCAGAATGATATCAGAAAACTACTGGCACAGCGACGAAGATAAAGTGAAAAACAAGCGACTATTCCTATCGGGCATAGCAAAGAGTTGGTACGAATGGCGTCTCAACGCTCACAGCAACAAACCATGGACAGAGTGGAAAGCAAGCTTTCTGAGCTCCTTCAGCGAGAACAAGGTGTTGCTATGGGACAAAGCAATCACGTTCAAATACAGGTCTGGATCTGCACTCAGCTATTTTTATGAGAAAAGGCGCTTGCTACAGCTGGCGGACTCATCTTTGCCTGAGACGTCTGTGGTGCCGCTTATCATTCATGGTTTAAGTCCGGACATCCAGAAGCAAATACAAATGCGAGGACCCAAGACGGTCGAAGAACTTCTGCAGGGAATGCGAAACCTCTACCTCCAGGACCTAGGAACCCAGCGTCAACCCATGACACCTGCTGCAAGGAATACCGGGGCCGCACGAGCTGAGGAACGACGCCCGCTTGCAAGCTGGAGACCTACTGCAACACCCATATCCTTTGTCAATGCAACATTGTTGTGGGAGGGAGCTGAAGAACTTAAGTTCCATAACGGAAAGTTCACAGTCCCAGAAACAATGGTGCCTCGAATTTTGGAGCTCTATCATGACTCCCCGCACTCAGGTGGACATGAAGGCTTTTGGAGGACATATTACAAGATTCGTCAGCGTTTCCAGTGGAAACACATGAAAGAGGACGTTCACTGGTATGCTCAGTCTTGTCATCAATGTCAAGTTCACAAAGCCAAGTACCTTCAGAGAACAGACGAGATGGTTTTGCCTCAACATTCCGACGTACCATTTGAAGTCATTCACCTAGATTTCGCAGAGCTCAAAAAGCAGGCTGCAGGAGTAAGAAGAACGCAGTCTTTCCTAGTGGCAGTAGACCAGTGCACAAGAATAGTGGCTGCACGGCCGGGAAGGCAAGACGCAAATAATGTGATTGCTCTTTTCAGTCGAGAGATGTTCAAGAATACAAAAATAGTAATATCAAACAATGGGCCAGCGTTTCTCGGTCAGCGTTTGCAAGATTGGGCGAAGGAACGAGGAGTTGTATTGCGACGCTGCGCTCCGTACCATCCTGCAGGAAATGGCATGACTGAAAGAATCATTCGGGATTTGAAGCATTTCATTTCAATGTATCCAGGTTTTCAGGGTGGATGGAAGTGCTGCTTGGAGGCAGCTGTCGCTCATCACAATCGGTCGCACACTGCGAGCATCGGCTGTAGTCCATATTTTGCAGCGTTCGGAAAGGTACCAGTGCTTCCTGCTGATCAAGAACTTTGCATTGCAGACCGCCTGCAATTGTGCGAAAAACGAAAACCTTCGGAAGCCTACCAGCGATACCGGAAAAGTATGAAGGGGAACTTTGACCATCGCCACAACACGCGGATACCTCAGATACAACTGAACGATCTGGTGCTTGTCAGAAAAGGCCTTCCCAGCACAAAGCAGGTGTACATGGGACCTTATCGCGTGGTGCAGATCGCAGTGCAACATGGAGTTTTCAAAAGGGTTGGTTACACCAACGATGATGATGTGCTGGAGTTTGCGACCATTGGAAACGTTTTTAAGTATCACCCCAGGAGGGATGAGTCTTCAAAGAGGGGGAGTGTACGTGGACTTGAGGCAGGGTTGGAGGGAGACGAGGAGGAAGAAGAGGTTAGAAATAAAGAAGATGGCTGACACCCCAGCCTAGTACTGTGTATTATTACAAGTGTTAAGATGATGCTAGCATTTTTTAAAAGATTTCGGTACCCATACGTCAGAAGACAGTTTTTGTAACACAATCTGCCCTCAATCTTTCAGCAGATCTGCTGTTACCTTATCGTCATCAGCAGCTTTGCCTCTTTACATGCTCTCCAAAGGTTTTCCGACTTTTTCCATCATTACTGGAGGGGTGTCATACGGGTTACTGCTAGTTTTTTCATTATGGTCGGCGTTGTTCCGGCCACTGTACAGATCCCTGTAACCTCAAACTCTTCTGCTATTCTAACTATCCTATCCATATTGGTAGTTACTTTGCCTTCCTTGTCTCTTAGTGCAGTCATCTGGTTTTGTCTATCCCAAGTTTCTTCACCACTTGGACGCTTCCTCCGTTCTTTAGGGCGAGTTCAGTTCTCTCCCCATTATACCTTCTTACATGGGATACCTAACGCTTAGTAATCAACTTCGAAAGCTCTGCCAGTTCTATTATGCCTCTTGAGTTTGAGTCTTCGATGTCTTGACCTTTCTTAATGACATTCTTTGTTTCCTGGAACAGCTTAGCAGTGTCCTGTCTAACTACCATATCTCCAACTTATACAGTACAATCCGCATAGATACTCATCAGATTTTCATTCATTGTGTAAACATTAGGCCGGTTTTCTAAATAAAAACGGAGTATCTGTTCTGAAGTCAGACTCTGGATTTCTGTGTTTTCCCTCTCAGTGCTAGCTCATTGATTGGCTTCTTGCACATCAGTTTTGGTCATTCTTTCTTCAAGTCAAGGTGAATTCAAGACCTTACCGTTTTATGGTCATGCATCGTAGCTTGCCTAGCATTTCCACATCGTGCACAATGCCTGGGTGTCAGCTCAATATAAAGTTTATTTCGTTCTTACTTTGACCATTAGAGCTCCTTCATGTTCACTTGCAGCTTCTTCGTGTTTGGTAGAAGGTATTCAAGATTCGTAAATTATTGCGCTCTTCGAGTTCTACTAATAACTCCCCTCGGGCATTTCTATTCCTAGTGCCATAATCTCCTACTGCCTGGTCTTCAGCCTGTTTCTTCCCTACCTTAGCAATGAAGTCGCCCATCAGTATTGTATACTGTGTTTTACCCAACTCATTGCTGATTCCACTTCCGCATAGAAGCTATCAAATAGCGCGTCATCATGGCTGGATGTAGGTGCGTAAGCCTGTACCACCTTCATATATTACCCTTATTGAGTTTAATTGCGATACCTACCTTTTATTACTGGTATAGTGTTCATCTAAGTTATCAGCTATAATTTTGTGGATAAGAAACCCCCCGCTGAGTTCACTTCTGTCAGCCTAACCACGATAGCAAAAGACGTGCCAATTCTGTAGCACTGTATAGGCCTCATCTACCCTCCTAAACTCACTTAGCTCTATTAAATGTTCATTAACACGCTCTAGTTCCTTGAATAGAACAGCTAGACTTGCCTCACTAGATAAGGTTCTAGCGTTAAATATTTCCAAGTTCAGGTTTCAATGACAGCCTTTCCGGACCCATAGGTTCTTAGCACCCCCTGCTGCGTTGCAGATCTAACCGCCGCCGTGGTCAGCTGCTCCACAGCCACTGGAGAATGAGTGCCGTGTGTTAATTGACGTATGCATGTCGGAGGTAGTGGGAAGATACTTCAGTAGGGTGGCCAATCTTTCTCTGGTGAGGAGTTGCGTTACCGGCGGTGGTCACCGGTGAGGCCGCACGCCAGGCCTCTTAATGCAATTCCATCATCCCGCAGAATAATATTTTTTTATTTCGGTTGGGAACTAAAGACGCCCAAATGATGCCATTGCGTACCACTTCATATACAAGCACTAAGGGTCTCATCGATGAATTATCCGTGTCAATTTTAAAACAGAATAAAAAAATTCTCCAATATCCCCGAAGAGAAACGTGAGAAAATGCCAATGCATTGCGTAGCGTCCATAACGGCGTTTTACACGCGAGAACCCAGCGTTAGAAGAATAAAGTTTTCTTTTTTTTCTTACACCGAGCAGTCATTAGCGTCGCTCACCACACGTGGCATTGTTCTGTCGCAAGAAACGCGGTATGCGTTTCCCGCTCTAGTACCTAGCGTACTAGAGCGGGAAAAATACAATGAAGTCATCAAAAGACACAGCGTTCTCGGCGCGGCTATGGCTTTTCACACCGGCGTCCACAGAGCTATTATGTTGACTCTAGAGGCAAAGCTGGGCCAGAACAGCTGTAACCACGAAAGCTCAGACATTTTGGAACGTTGTCGCCCCGCCGCGGTGGTCTAGTGGCTAAGGTACTCGGCTGCGAACCCGCAGGTAGCGGGATCAAATCCCGGCTGTGGCGGCTGCATTTCTGATGAAGGCGAAAACGTTGTAGGCCCGGGTATTGAGATTTGTGTGCATGTTAAGGAACCCCAGGTGGTCAAAATTTACGGAGCCCTCTACTACGGCATCTCTCATAATCATATGGTAGTTTTGGGACGTTAGAAGCCACATATCCATCATT